CTTAGGTAATACTTAGCAACCAGATATCACTACGGTAAACAATTTGATTTACAATTTAGTTTGTAGATGAAATGTTTCTAAGCCACCAAGACAGATTTTTGTGTGATGTCTTCATTAGAAGGCTGTTTTCCAGGATGCTCCTTCCTTCAGACTGGGCTGTATTAGCACAGGAAGGAAAAGGAAAAGTCTACTTTGCAATCTCAGCTAGAAACATTTTAACCCAACTAGAGCTTATTTTTATCACACTTCAATTTCCATAGCTTTTTATTCAAGCCTTATCTTTTCTTTAAATAGAAGCTTTCATCTCAGAGGATCCCAACTACTCCTTGCAGGAGTATTTGGCAGCTTTTCACTTTTGTTTCTTTACAGAAATTGAAGAAAAACTTGTTTACAGTGTACTGGGAAGCTGTGGTGCAACCATTACAGCACCAGCTGCGCAGCCAGCACGCACAATACTGCACTTGCTTGGGGGGCTTTGAAAATCTCTTGGGTCTCCTTCTGTGTCAAAACCCTGGTTTTAGACTTCCAAACCATGTCTCTGCATTTTGCATCTCCCTTTGGCTTCACTTTAAATCCTCTGGTAGACCACGGTGGTTTCATGAGGGAGGTTTCTTGTGTAGGTGTGACCCTTACCTGAAGCTTCCATACATAGAAGTGCACTCCTTCCTTGCAGGAGTTGATGTTGTGTTAGACTGTGCAAGAATTCCTGACTGAATGTTTCTCAACACTTCTAGAAAAACCTGAGACGAGAAGAATCACATGAAGGAGGAGCTGAAATGGGCAGAGCTGAGCTTTTTTAAATATTTCAAGTATTCAGTCACTCAAGCAGCGAGCCCTAGGTTTGGGATGGCCAGGATCAAGGAGGAGGCCTATCACATTTGACTGCTTTTTCAGAATTCTCATTCAGTTTGTAGTGGGAGAGGGGTAAGGAGTAACCCTGTGAGTTTAGATGTTCTCTCAGCCAACGTGGCAGATGTGATGAAATTTCTCCCATGCCAGGGCTGGGTGCCTTACTCCAATTCTTCCTGCAGAAGGAAATTACTCCCTGCAGCCTTTCCCCAGTCACTCATTTATCTGCTGTAGGGGGTGAGAAGGCAGCCTTGAAGAAGCAGCTAAAATTCTTAGATCTTCTCTCTCCCTCCCCTTTTCCTTCTGTCAGTGATTCCTGACATTTTGAAACCAGAGCTGATAAATAAGTGCGAGGTGTCTTGTAGGTTGGCTGTTTTTACAAAACTATCTATTTTTTGGTGTAGCTAGGTAGCTGGCTGTACAAACTGAAGTTATTTCAGGCCATTAGCTATAGAAACATCCCCCTCTCCATATTTTCCCTCACAGAGATTCCACAGCTCCAGTAAGAAGGGAATAATTGAATATCAGGACTCGGTGGGGTAGAACAGAAATAGTTTGCTCGTAGCAGTGGGTTGGGAAGACCTCGTTCCATGGCATGCCAATCAATGCCACGTTTCATAGGGTGAGGTAAGAGGCCATGGAAATCTTTCTTGTTTCCTTGCACCACAAGGCATGAAATCTGATTAGTCCTGTCCTCTTCTAATTGTGATTTACGGTCCTGAAGCTGGCAGTGTGCTCCCAAAAGACCACCTGCACCCGTGTGACACAGTGAGTGAGAGAGTGCTGGAAAAGCTTTTCCCAACCCTTCAGAAACATAAAGAAATGAAATCCAGTGTCCTTGGATTACTTCTGATTAAATTCTAGGTGCCCAACTAAACCCATCTTCCTCCAGTGCATATGTGCCCCACAGAAGAAAATCAAAGTCCTGCCATTGACCATGGCAGCAAATACAAGCATTTCAGAACAGCTTTTTCGGAACACCTAAAATATAAAAGCAAAGTGATTGAGTTAAATAGACCAAATCCTATGACATAGGCTAAGCTCCCATCCAGTGTGGCAGTCTGGTCATGAAGGAAAGGAGTCCATAGTTCACACATAATAAAATAGATATGATCCCATATTCCACTCACAATAAAATATATATGTACACATAATAAATATACAAATGTTGTGTGTGAGTGTCCAGGCTTGTTAGCTGAAAAATAACCCTTGAATATGAATATACATAGCAATGTCTGGGAGGATGGTTAAATTAACAAATGTTTAATTGGGGCACTTGATGGCAACCTCTTAAAGTCTGGATTTTCAAATAATTCAGAAATAACATTGTCTACTGAATTTTTGCCATGTTATTGAGGTAAATTGGAAATTTACCGTGGAAATGGCCACTGTCTATTGGTGGGAAATGGCCTGCTGAATGGAGATAACAAGGGGACTTAACCTTGTAGCTTCTGGCTGGCAAACCCTAATTAAAATGCAGCCCCATCCTCTCTGTGGAATGCTGCTTCCAAATGCTCATATTCAAGCTGCATAACCTCATTCATCAGGCATTCCCCTTGCCCAAAGAACAAGTTTCTTTCAAATTGGTACAGAGATCTGCTACAAAGGTCTTTTTGCTCCATGACAAAGGCAACGAGACCCATGCAAATGGTTTTGGGCTGAGGAGTGAGGAGGAAGGCTTTGCAGTGGTGTTGGGCACTGAAAGTGCCCAACAGCTGAGCCCTGTGGTTAAAGAGAGAGAAAGCTCAGGGGAGGGAAGGGGCAGTCTGCTTTATCTTGAGAGGAGTGCAGCCTTATTTCTCTGCTGATTCACATTTCTTTTGAGACCTGCTAATTGCAACATCTCTCAGTAAGTTACTTACAGCAGAACTGCTGGGGAGAAATTGTGATAAATGCATAAACTGTGTCTTACTGATTTTTGTTGACATTTTACATGCTTCTCATGCATTTGAAACCTCCATTCAGTAATTGTTACTATAGTACCCACTCCTGGATAGTGAGAACCAAAGTGAATGAAGCTGTTTCTTGACCATTATCAACAATATTATTCAAGGCTGTGCATGGGGTTCCTTGCCTGCCCTCCAGTATATCTCTATTTGTGCTCATCCCCCACTGAATTTGCAAGACAAGAAATGAATAGTGCTAATAACAGAAATGGTATTAAGAGAGATTACTTTGAGACTGATGGTAAATTTAGGCCTCTTTAATTTTAGTGCACAGCAGCAATATGGAATCTAGGAGAAGTATTGTAGATTATTTACCTTTCTACTGCATATTTTGTCTAGATTGCTGTACAGAAAGCTGGTTTGTTACATCATATCCTTTGACAGAAATATGTTGCTGAACAAGACTAGTATAGCATTATGTAGTGTGGCTAAAGAGTAGTGAGACATCATCAGCTGTTTTGTTACCTAAGAAATACAGAAGGTCACAATGCTGTGGTGAAGTTTGGGTAAAAGAATTTTGATTTTTGATTTTATGATGCTCATCTATCAGTCAGAGCTACACAAGCCAGTTTAGGTTCTTTTGAATCAAGGGCCTTTACGTTAAAGAGAAAAAAAATACCGCATGATGCAAAAATGCATTGACTTTATTTTCATGACTAGATGTAGTGCTTTTGGGTAATGATCAGGCATTGCTTTCTCTTACTGTTGTTTGATTAAAATGTGAATACAGTCTTGACTTGATAATCTTACCAGGTACACACAGAGCTAAAAAGAAAAGGTATTCTACGCCTCAAATTGATTTGCATAAACCAAACAATCTGTTGCTTACTGGATTGCAAAATGGTTTATTTTGCCCATTGGCCACAGGGGCAACAATATTGTATTTTTGATGCCAGAATGTAGCTTTCATGCATTAGCTCTAAAATGACAATATGCTTTAGCCTCTCAGTGCTTAGATCTGCTTCATTTGGAAATCTTTTAAGTAGTAATAATAATAATGTTTTGAGGAAATTGAGTGGAACACTAAATTATTCTCTGAAACCTAAGTTCAAACTGTGCAAGGCTAAGGGAGCTGAAAATCAATGCACTTTTAAAGTCATTAGAGATCACAAGTGAAATAAGTCTGTGTTGCTTTAGCTAAGCTTTTAGTGTGCCATGGTATTATTACAAAATCAGCCTGAATCTGCATTAATTTCACAGTCTTTTTCTTTAAGATGCCCAAGGGTGCATGAAGAATAAAATGTAAACCTCAGGAGGCAATGTTTTTATTAGCCAAAAGGGTGGTGAGTCATGCACTGAAAACGTTGACCTGCACCATGCCCAGTGTAGGTATGGCTGACAATAGTAAAAAGGTGGAAAAATCACCCAGGCATTACCCTACTGGCTTTTCATTATGATTTTAAAGGCTGAAGAGGGAAAAAAAAAGAGTGATTTTTTCAGTTATTCATGCACATAGCTTCAGAATTGTTCAGGCTGGCATTAGCTTTCATGGATCAAAGAATTATACTTGTACCTAGAACTCGGAGAAACAAATACCATAAGGATTTTTATTTTTAAAATGTTAATTTCTTAAATGTTGAGATTCCACCTACATTACTGAATTTTGTCTGAGTCTTTACACAAATAGTCACAGGATACACAGTGGTGTTTTTCTCATTCTTATTTGTATGATACTTCTTGGTGCATCACAGTAATTTGTGATGTTATAGACCCCTTTATTAAATTCTCAGTTCAGCTGTTAGTGATGCCGACATTTATTCACTATCCACAGTTTACCTACACAATAGCCAGAGCAAGCAATTGTTAATGCATGGTCTGAATAGATTTAACTATGCAATCCAAAGGCTACATAAAAGCCTTATTTATTTCAAACCCTGTGGCTAAAGAACAAAAACAGTAACAAAACAGAACAAACAAACAAATTTTTAAAAAAAGAAAAGAAAAACAAAACAAAGCAAACAAAAAATTAAATAAAAACCCTTCTTGTCACCCATCTCCACCTAATTTTTTTTCTTTCATCTATGGTCAGATTAGCAAGTCAGCACTGTCAATAAATAAACTAGAGAAGTTGTTTATTTTTATGTACTACTGAGAACAGTGTCGTCTTGTGGCCGTTCTCGTAGACTGTGTTGGTTTAACAAGCGTCCAACCCTTTTGTCTTGTTGTTTTTTGTCTTTCCTGCTCCCTGTCCCCTTGTTCCCACAGGCTGTGCGTTTGTCACATTTTCTACAAGGGCAATGGCACAGAATGCAATCAAAGCCATGCACCAGTCTCAGACCATGGAGGTACAGTACTGTATCATTTGCCCTTTCTTTGTTTTCTTTGTGCAAATGATTGCGAATGGTAAAGCCATGCTCTCCTGGATCAGATCAGACACATGACAATCACAGATTTAAATTTTTTACCAGCTCACTCTACCTGTCTTCGTGAAGCTTTATTTTTCTCAATCACCTAAAAGAGCACAATAAGACTGCTGTGTGGTGTCCAAACACAGCTCTCAATCCTGTTTTCAGTGGCATTCAGCAGAAAATAAAAATGCTGTGAATACCACTCCTCAGTCATACTCAGAGTATCTCTGATGAGTAAATTACCTCTATTTTTAACACACGTTCCCCCTAAGAAAAATCTTAGCTTCTTTTAAATAGATTTCTAAGTGTTGTGGTTTGCAGTGCTCTGAGAAAAAGCTCAAGAGATTTAACATGGCCACACTGAGTTACTAGTGCATGTGTTTTTCTGCAAATAGAATCTCTTTTTAAGTTAATATTATTTCGCCTCCTTCATGTAGCCAATAAAAATGCTAATGATGACAGAGCATACAGAGTGTGGCACTTCCTGCAGAGCACCATCGTGGCTGGCCCCTCACAAGCAACACTCTTCATTCCCTTCCAAACTGCCTCTATGGCCTCGTATTTTATCATGATGAGCAGCTCAAAACTTTAAACCGGTTCACTCAATGTGACTTCAGCTGCTGGCTAACGATCTGGTCACTGGAGTGGTCATTGAATGCCACAGCTTGTCTGGCAATCTCAAAACTTTTTTCAGTCTGTGATTTTTGTCATGGTCTTTCAGAATTTTGCACAAAAAACCGCACAAGTATGAAATCTTTACTTACTCTGGATCTTCTAGCTTATCATTGGAGAGTGCATGTTATACTGTATTATGTATACTGTATCTTCGTGTAGTGATGATTTTTCTCAGAGGTGGCATTGATGTTATGTGCACTTGTTTCTTTTTTTCTTTATTTTTTTTATTTTATTTTATTTCTTTTTCCACCAGGACCTTTCAATTTTTTTATTTTTTTTTCTCTCAGTGATTTTCCTTTGCAATGCTCTAGTCTCCCAAAGCATGCTGGGTGCTAAACAATCATTATTGCGTCATGTCGTTGAGCTGCTTTGTGTAACGAGCCAAGGGGGGACACCAGGGGTGGGAGGGTGGACAGAGGACAAGGAGGAGGAGAAGATAAAATTCAAGCCAGTGCATGAAAATGTCACTAACTGTTTCCTGTATAGTACAAGTAATGATATCAGCATTGCAAAGCTGTTGTCTTTCCAAACATCACGTTTGAATTTGGTTGAGCTTCTTTTATAATCAATGTGTTTTCTTTTCAGTGCAATGCATTTTTAGACCCTGGGTATACAGTTTTAGTTGAGAATCTGCCAATGAGATGAGAACAGATGAAATTATCTTTACTAGAAAGCTGCTGTTATACAGTCTATGCAGTCTGATAGTATATTGTAAAAAAACTGCCACTTTGAATCTCTGCAATAATACCTGTAGTAATTTGTCTGCCGTGCACTGCTCCATTAATTCAGATCTGTATGTTTTGCTGGGTTTGATTCCAAGTAAAAAGGAAATGTTTACTGGTAATACTGTGTTTTACCTATATTTTCCATGTGTTTGAATGCATTTTTCCATCTAGCAAAATGAATTTACACAGCTCTACTTCTGAAGACGGTAAAATAAAGACATAACACCTCCCAGACAAATTCTCCCAGTCATCTGTTGTATGCAGCACTCCAAAAGGGGCTGCATTTTGGCAGGATACTCTTAATGAGATTAGTTCTGTAGAATAGTTACTCTTGGATCAAAATCCCTCCCAACACCTTTAGAGACATCATCAATGAGATCCCCAAATTGGCGAGGCAATTCCAGATATTTTGCCCTTTGAACATCAGGGTCTTTGCATCAGTTGAGCTTAGGCTGAGTCCCTTCTTGGAAAGAAGCTGTGCACCCTCCCTCCCCGTGGAGGAGGGATTCAACCTGACAACAGAAAAATATGAAGGCAGCAGCAGCTGTTGGGAAGAAAATGGCGCTGAATGGCATGGAAATGTGAAGCCATTGAATGAGGAAGGGAGATGCACCTTGTGTTTGTGCTGGAAGCTTCCCCTCAAGCTAGGAAATAGAAGTGCATAAAACAAGAATCACCCCGTAGGCAAGAAAAAAAAAAAAAGAAAGAAAATCCTCACTTTTGCCAATACTCTTCTAGTGAAAAGTTAAAGTGGGTTGACTAGTGTTACATGTCAAACCTCAGCCTGAAACAGTCATCTTGGACACTTTGGTTTCATGTTATTTTGCAAATAAAAGCGGGCTTAGGGGAAGATACATAGTACACAATTGCATTTCAACCCAATTACTACAGATTTTTCCCCTTTTTTTATTATTTTCAGTTCTTTAGCATGCATCATTGACCAAGATGAATTTTCAAAGAGGGCTAAGAAAGAACAATGGGGTTGTTAAGTCCAGATGAACACGTCTCATAGAATAATGCATTCTCTTACTGCTCTTTCCACCTAACTTACTGACCTGGTTAAATCAACTGATTTTTTAAATATAATTGCTGCTTTAAAGTGCTCTTCTATTTCTTTTCTGTGGAGTTTTTTTTTTTTTTGTATGTTTGTTTGTTTGTTTGTTTAAGTCATTCAAATGCAGCACCAGTAGAAGACACTAATTTGTTATCATGGAGTAAATTTGATACAACAATAACAACCCTTTTCTCATATAGAGCCACTTGCTAGATATAATCTCAATCTTCAGAACGTTTGCTTTCTTGAAAATGATGAAGTGATGAAATATAGAGCAGACAGTGAAAAAATGAATTATAGATTCATAAATTGCAGAGATATTGTTTTTATACAATTTACTGACATTTAAGCATTCATAAATATGTCAGCTGTAGTGTTGAATGCTGAACTACCAAACTGAAAACCGAAATAACCATATAATATTTCTTCCTTTGATACTCATTTCTATTTCTTTGGAAATATACTTGATTCTCCTGTACATCCAGGCAGAAGGCAGTACATTCCAGTTGTTCTTAGCCCAGTGTTACCAATAATGTTATTTGTAGCTCGTATCAGATAGAAACAGCTTGCTTTTTTTTATTAGCAAAACCAGAAAAATCTCTCTCACATCCTCTACCCCCTGGCTCCTTTTTCCTTCTTCTTTTTTTCTAAATGATCTTATTTTTAATATTAGTATAAAAATCACTAGAGAGAGGTAATTGTGTAACAAGCCGACTCCTTCATAATCTTTATTTGATTGCTGGAGTGTTATGGATCTCCTTTTTTCCTCACTGAAACACTAAAAGACATTTTTACAATGAAACACACAGGAAAAGAATTGGAGGTGGAATAATAAACCACAAGCAATGATTTTCTAAGATAATTCTAAAGGAATAGTGTTGATGGGGGATATTATTATTATTATTATTATTATTATTATTATTATTATTGCAGTTTAGTTCATCATTTTATCTGATGATTGGGAATATTTTTATCACTTGTCCTGGTGTGAGGTTTTTCAGAGAAAAGGTACATGGCTGCTTTTTGTAATTAATTGAGCACAGGAACTTTTCTTAAGATGTTGACAGTGTTTTGAGAGCAGCCATGGGAAGAGTAGGTGAAGTAGAACCCTGCTCTGCATCCCACACTATACACTATGGCTCAAGCACTGCTGTGTTTCTTGGACTTGAGTCACTTATCACTCCTGCCATTGTGTTCACATTGAAGTTAGACAAGAAATTAGTATAACAAAGCATGGCAAGGGAAGTTATTCATTGGATGCTGTGAAGTTGAAAAGCAGTATGAAATGGATTGACAGTTTCGATGACTCATAAAATGCTTGAATTAATTTGAAGAACTGAATCACTGCAGTATATAGCTTGCTTTCTTGATCTGAAAAAAAATTAAGACTTGAAAGGTTAAAATATGAAACGTTTCTTAGCAGGGAAAAAAACAGAGAGAAATCAACAGAGACATCTTTCATAATCACATCTCATTGTTTTAGTGTCTTTGCCCAGGAATGCCCAATTCGAAGTCCAAGGGAAATTCCAGTTTACCTCAAAAGTCCATTTGGTCTGTGACCTCCAACTTCTTCCCAAGGGTCCCTCAGCCATGGGTGAGGAATAGGCTGCAGACCAGACCTATAGCTCTTTCTTACAGCTTCCCTATTTCCTAAGGCATCTCACAGTCTTGCCATACCATGTAACAAGAGGCTGATAGAAGCAATAGAAGAAGTGGTGTCAATCAGAAATGGGCTGCTATCACCAGAACTAGTCCCTTTTGGTCTGCATCCTGCCCTTTGTTCACATCTCAAGGGTTCTTGGTACAAAACGTGCCCGGGCGCGGACCGCAGGTGGGTGAATTGACCGGGGCTCCTTGCTGTGAACAGGGCTGGTGCCTCGCTGATGTAAATGGGTGCTGAGGTAAATCTGCTGCTCCCAGTCTCTTTAGGGTGCACACACCAGCTGCACCGAGCCTGATGGCACAGCCAGACTGTGGTTGGCTGTGTGGTCCCTGGCAGCACGGAGGTTGGACACCTCTCCCTTTGGCGCTGCCTCGAAAACAGACTGCAGACAAAGCATCGCGTCCATCTCATCAGCTGTGAAGCTTAATTAAAGAGGACTGGTACACTTTGCTGTCTCTGGCTGCAATTTTGATAGCTGGAAGGAAAAGAGAGCCTGAGGAAAGGTGCTTTATAAAAAGAGCTGGGGAATCAATAATTTCTCCATAGCCTCTTTTCATAAGAACCTGAAAAATCTTAGTCCTTGCAGACCTACACGTGCCAGTCACAAAGAGAGGGTGAACAATCTGGTTGTGCCAATGCCAGAGGCCCTGCAGGACATGGCTGAGCTCACGAGGCAAGGGTGGCCTGGTATGATTTAACCCTTCTGTCTTTCCCAATCTGTCCAACCACAGGGCTGCTCTTCGCCAATCGTGGTGAAGTTTGCTGACACCCAAAAGGACAAGGAGCAGCGGCGTTTGCAGCAGCAGTTGGCTCAGCAGATGCAACAGCTCAATACTGCCACTTGGGGAAACCTCACAGGTCTTGGAGGACTCACACCACAATATCTAGCTGTAAGTTCACTTCAGAGGTGGTGGCTGTATTTATGCTCTATTTATTTTAGGATCATGGTAAATCAGTTCTACTAAACTCCCTGCAGTAAATTGCTAAATTGTCCAGGATACACAGTGTGTTTTCTTCTGGGTGTGTTTATCTGCAAAACAATTCACAGATTCATAGAAAGGTTTGGGTTGGAAAGGACCTTAAAGATCACCTAGTTCCAACCCCTCCACTGTAAATAAAATTTTATTCCATTAGTTTTATTGGGGGTTTTGAATGCTAGAGTCTGTTTTTTGTAACTGGAATAAAATTTAAGTTCTTCCTTAGGGGAGGACAGATAGGCAGCTGAACTAGAACTAGAAGGCCATATCCATATGGTGCAGCCTCTAAACTAGAATGTTGTGGTTCAATCTTCAAATTTCCATATTTTCATTTGGAAATGGCTTTTGCTATAATGCATGGTCCTGCCAATGCTAAACATGCATGGTTCATATCCCCTCACACAGAAAGTGAATGTGGCCAGGAAAAGCCATAAATTTAAAATGGACTTTTCCTTAGTCCATTTATAAGATGAGAAACAGGTGGTAGCTGCTGTCCCTGCTGGAAAATCTGAAATCTGCAGCCACATGTCTTTGGTCCTGGGTGGCCAAGAGAGGCTCCCCTTCATCACAGCTGAGGGGGAGCCTCTGCCTTTTGTGGCTTTGGAGTTGGGAGGTCTGGTTGAGGAGCTCTTGGATAACTTGGGGGTTCCTCATGGTTCCAAATAAGACAAATATAACCTCACCAAGTACAAGGCCAAGTACAAGGTCCTGACCCTGGATCGGGGCAATCCCAAGCACAAAAGCATGGGTCAAGAGCAGCCCTGAGGAGAACTTGGAAGTGTTGGTGGATGAGAAGCTCAACACGACTTGTCAATGTGCACTTCCAGCCCAGAAAGCCAAACGTGTCCTGGGCTGCATCCCCAGCACCGTGGGCAGCAGATCAAGGCAGGGGTTCTGCCCCTCTGCTCTGCTCTGCTCTGCTCTGCTCTGCTCTGGTGGGACCCCACCTGCAGTGCTGCATCCAGCTCTGGGGTCCCCATACAGGCAAGACACAGACCTGCTGGAGCAGGTCCAGAGGAGGCCACAAATGTGATCAGAGGGTTGAAGCACTTCTGCTGTGGAGAGAGGGCTCCAAAGAAAGAGTTGGGGCTGTTCAGCCTGGAGAAGAGAAGCGTCTGGGTCCTTTGAGTTTTCCATGCCTGAAGGTGACCTCCAACAAAGCTAGAGAGGGCCTTTTCACAGGGGCATTTAGTGATAGGACAAGGGGTGATGATTTTAAATTGAGAGAGGGCAGCTTTAGATAAGATACTCAGAAGAAATTCCTGCCTGTGAAGGTGGTGAGAGAGTGGCACAGGTTATCCTGAGAAGCTGAGGCTGCCCCAACCCTAGAAGTATTCAAGGCCAGGCTGGTTGGGGCTCTCAGCAACCTGATCCAGTGGAAGGTGTCCCTGCCTGTGACAGGGCAGTTGAAAGTGGAGGAATGGAGGAACTTTGAGGTCCCTTCCAAACCAAACCATTCTATGATTCTGTGAAATGGATGTGCCCATATATAAGTATTGTGTATATATAAATACATCATTTGTGTGCATGCAATGTTTTGATATAGTGATATGAACAGCAATTTACCCAGCAATTAAAAATATATATTAGTGCTGAGGTTGGCTAATTAATGCTGAGATAGGCTAAATTGCTATATATACAAATACCAGTCTAATGAATATCTGTGCGCTTGATTCATAAAGATAATGAAGAAAAAACTGAATTCACAGGGGTGGGGAAGAATGGACCATGATTGACAGAGATGAGTTATGGTAACTACTAGACTACAGAGGGTTGTAATTAGTCACACTATGTTGGTTTAAATAGATTTAACACCTGGTTGTTAAAAAGAATAAATTGATTAATTGTTTTAAAGCAGCCATGTTATTGAGTTTCCCTTGTGTCTCTGTGTTTCTTAATAGAGATTAGACATTAATATGGATTTACAGCATTGACTCTAGGGATGTTCATTCCAACAGCAGACAGAAGCAAGAGACTGTATAAATGTAAAGGAAAGCAGAAATATTCCAAATGTGAAATGATAGCTCATTTTAGTTTTATCTTCATTTGTTACATTACTGTCAGATAGATTGCTGTGTTGTGTTGTTCATTTGCAGCTCCTGCAGCAAGCAACTTCCTCCAGTAACTTGGGTGCCTTCAGCGGCATTCAGCAAATGGCCGGTGAGTTAAAAACCCTTTCATTTTGCTCCTGCTATGTTTTGTGTTCTTAAGCTATTGAATTCTGTACCTCTAATAATCACATTGTCAGGGGGTGGGGGGCGTGTTGTGTATTAAATGCGGCAGATGTATTGGCAGGGGACAGCTCACGGTTCAGTGTCAATAGAAACACTTTCACCCCTCTTTCAGAACTGAAATTAAACCCAGTGCTCCCAGGTTGTGCAAACAGTTTGTCTTGCATTAGTCACCTGCCATTTGGCCAAAGTAACCAATTGTAAATTGCAGGAGAGCTCTTAGTCCCTGCAGCCGTATCCTGCCCTATGAAAAGTGTCAGGAAAGCAACAGCAGGATTACATTCTAATTTCCAGTGAGATTTCTGTGTCCTGAAAAATCAAATTAATGGCAGCCCTCAAACATTTTAATAATATGTGGTGAGGAAAAATGTTCTGACCTTTTTAATGAAACCCAAGATTACAGGCCTACCTTCAGTATGAATTTTCAGGCTCCTTTTATAATCACAGAAAATTAACTGGGTGCCTTTTTGACTTTGGAACCCTAGTTGGCAAAATTACACAACAGAGATTTTATGTAAAAAGTATAATCTTCAGTCTGGAGGAAAAAAAAAAGAAAGAAAGAAAAGGGGGAAAAAAGAATCAAAGTGTGAGCGGATTTGAAAGCCAGCTAGTTGGAGGGTTTCTTAGTAATGAGCTGTGTGCCAGTAGTAACTGATGTGTAGTGATTAGCAAAAGGTCATTCCCACTGTGTGACCTACCATGCTGATATCCTAACTTAACATGATGCTAGAGAAGGCAGCATGTGCAGTAAATCAGAGCACAGATGCACATTATGCCTGCCGTGAGGAACTGTTAAAAAGCTTTTTTTTTTTCCTTGTTACAGGGAAAAAAAAAAGAAAGAATCACAAAACCCCTAAATTGCTACATTAGTTTATTTTAATCATGAGCCCGCTGAATCAATGAAATACAACATTATGCTTGCTTCATCATCACAAAACAAGGGCTAAAATATTCAGAAGTCTTTATGAGCCCCATTTCTCATTCTTTTTTTAATCCTGATCTTTTGCTGCTTCTGGTTCTGCTTTGAAGGAAGCCTGAAATACTTTAACAATTATATATATACCACACTGTATAGCTATACCCCACAGGTATTCTTTGCTCAATCGTTATATTATGCCATTATTGCAGTGACATCAGAGAATAATGTGAACCTGCTGTCTGACAATATAAATTGGCCTACAGATGACAATATCTCTGAATTATTCTCTCTTCCTCAGACCTGCTGGCAGTGCTTGCTGGTTCTATTATCTATTACTCTTGCAATCTAGCGTTTTTTCCATCAAAATAATGTGTCTTAATATGATAAACAGAACAGAGCGGTTCAGCAACAGTTTTATACTTGGGAATTTTGGAAGTGGTTTTGAGCTCAAAGATTGTGTTTTAATGTTTTCATATTTGGTTAGGTCTACAAAAATGAAAGAATTGGGACACTGAGGAAAAATAATGTGGTATCCATTGCTTTATGTGCACCTTAGAAGTTTTTGTTGCCTATTTCTCACTGTTAGTGTAGATTCAGCTTTGTTTTCAAGAACTGTTGAAACTAAGGATTTTAGTCAAGTGTTTCCAGGATGGGCTTTCAATCCAGGATGTGATTTATTCTCTGAAAATCATATGGTCTTGAGACTGAAAGAAAGTCATCTTAAGAAATCATAGTGGCACATCATTGTTACTCGAGGGATCTGCTTTTTTCAACTGCAAATTAGATTGCTAATGCACTCATCTATGGGATAATTTGATGACTGACTGCCTCTCTTGGAAAAAAAATGTATTTTATATCTTATTTTCATGTTATCAAAACAGCTTGAAGTTTACTCCTTTCCCCAAAACATGTGACTCGTAAATCCTTATGTTCAAGGTAAAAATTAGTGATACAAAATTGTTCTCCAAGCTGCATCTCCACATGAAAATGCCAAAGACTAAGCACCGTTAGAACTGAGAGTTCATGTCCTCTCCTTGGAAATCAGGCAGTACCATGTCATGCAGTGCATCTGGTATTAACAATTTGTATATTATGTTTCGTGAAAGGAATAGAAAGTACTCCTGTGCCTGCAGCAAGAGCTTGCATTACCAGCTGAAGCTATCTTTGAACATTTGTGAAGGCCTAGAGTTTTTTAACTTAAGCTGTACAGGTTCGTTTCACAAAAAAAAGAATCTAATATGTAATTCCATATTGCATGTAGTTTGCCTATTAATATAACATTTCAAAGTGAGGAATAAAATCCAGACACAATTGAGTGAGGTGCTAAAGAAGATCCATCACTGCAGCTTTCAAGTTCTTTGAACTTTGTGTTTGAGGGGTGCAACTTTTATCCTTGAAGTCGATGGGTGTGCTTACCACGTAATTCAGACACTAAAACTTTGATCAAAAGCCACATGAGCCATTGAAATTCCACCCTTACTTCCATGTCAGGGCTCTAACATCTCTTTTGCGCTTAAATCTTGATGAAGTCACAGTTTGCTGCATTAGGACTTCTGATACAGCTACCCCCTTGTACAAAATTAGGGCCCTTTGCATCTGCAAGTGTTTATTTGTGCTGCTCAAGCTTGTGCTGTCTCTGCACAGAACAGAAGTGGCACAACACACACCCCACTGCACCTGTGAAGAGTTATTTGCTATGCTCAGTATATTATTTCTTAAATCAAAGCAATTTTCTTTGCTAGCAGAGCTAAGACACTGCTCTTCAGTGTGCAGTTTTGAATTCCCTTCCCCTAATACCATGCCTCAGACTGGTTAAAGTAGTTCTTACATTTGAAAAGCAGTGTGGTTCTTTGATTTTGGTGAAGGGAGTGGGATTTTTAGGTGTTTGTGATTGAAGAGTATTGGAGTTGGCTTGTTTGTTTGTATATTTGTTTGTTTGTTTGTTTGTTTGTTTGTAAGCTGGGAATACAGTCCAAAGAAAAAATGGGGATTTTTCTCAAGAACTCTCTAACATACAGATATTAATCACTCAGCACCAAGTGTAAAAGTGAGCACTGTTCTCGCTGTAGCAGCCAACTGACCCTGCTATACATTCAGCATTGTCTGAAGTCCAAGCAAATAAGGAAACTAGTTTAACAAAAATTTGAGAGCCTGAAATTTGAGAGACAAAAAGCTGTAGCTTGCCATTTAGCTTTCCAAGCTTTAAGGTTCCATGCCTAATTCTGCACTTTAGTTTTATCTCATTTCTATAGAGAAACGAGATTTTCATGAAATCATGCTACTTCATGAGTCAAGCCAAAGAAAACAATGTAATATTTTGAGACTGGCAATAAAGTTGGGAGAGCTGGCAGTGGTGCCTTTGGTATTACAGTAATCCCCTGGTCTTGATTACAGGCACTAATTCTACCTTGCCAAAGTCTGCTTCATTGTCCTGTATAAAACATGCAAGGACATGCATCCTTATGAGTGTATTTCATAGTGAGCACTTCCTCACTTTCCCTCCCCTTCTCTGATATCTTCTAATCCTAATGCTAATTTAAAGGCAGTGTTTGCTCTCATGTTTTTCCTCTCATGTGTTTCCTCTCCAGCCTCGGTGTCTAGCCTGCACTTTGTCTTTGGGGAAGGCTAATAATACAGATAAATTACATTATGTGGTTTGATTGTCTTACTTTAAAAGACAATGTAAGCTACATTAAACACTAGCAACCTTTCAAGCAAGCAAAAATTCCTCCTTCAAATACATACAAATTGCATGGGAAGCTTAGTTCAAAGGAGATTGATGTTGCTTGAATGTTTGAATCGAATTTGGCTGGCACTGGAGCAGGTCCTAAAAGCTGCAGTTATTTAAACCAACCTGCCTGTTTAAGAGCTTTGGAATTACAATACAGATACTGTAAGAGGAAGTTTACTATTGCTAGGATAAGTGTAGAAAATATTTCAATGTTTTCAATATTTAAACAATGTACAGTCTAGGAAAATTTTCTACAATCCAATAATGTCAAATGTTTTGGCAGGAACAAATATTGGTTCATACAGCAATATTTTTTTATGTGTGACCATTCAAGACATAAAAAAATGTACAGTACTCATAAAAAAAACAAAGGGTTTCTCTTAATTTCATTGAATAGACAGTGTATTTTGCTTTCTGGAGTTATACAGGAGGAGAAACCATGGATTTTTCTTTTTCCTCCCAGTCCCTAAGCCCTCTGCAGCTGGGACTTTTTATATTTTTCCAATGTATATATTTTTTCCCAGTGCTGTCCAAGTTCTCTCACAGTTTGGGTGCATTCTGGGTTGAACTTCTGGCCCTTTCTGAGCCGTGCTCCATCCATTCCACCCTTCTTCCACTACCCAAGCCAGATTTCCTCCTGTTGCAGAGTCTGTAGGAGCAGATGGGTGAGAGAAAGTCTGTGAGGTTCTGCTTTCTGAATATTTTCCTCTAATTGTTGGATTGGCTCAGTGGATCTGGAGGGACCAGTTGGAAGCCAGGACCATCTGCACAGAAGCTCTACACTTTTGCATTGGCCAAAGGATCCTTTATATCCTCTGACTCTTCCATGGCTTCATTCCAGCAAAGCCATACAGAAGGAGGATTTCTCCTGCTATGACCTCTTTAGGGATATCATATTAAAAGTAAAGGTCACTGAGAAACTGTTTCCAGCTCAAGGGAGATAGCTGTTTCTTAAAGATAACTACCAGTTTTCAAAATGTTGACCTCAGGGACCAAAAACATTCAGCTTTTGTAACACTAATTCCACTGCAAGTCCTAGTTATTTTAACACATAAAATTAGCTTTTCTTTTTTGGTTTTTTTTTCTTCTTTTAACTAATAAATTAAACAACTCTGTTTAGCATTTTTGGAGAGAGAGAGTTTGCAGCAAGTGAGCCTGTTCCCAATCCACACATTGCTCCTTCTCAGAGGAGAAGGAGAGGCACCTTGAGAGGAAAAAGCAGTGCTCAGCAGTTAGGATGTGCTTATTCAGGTGGTAAAAGTGCCTGATGTGCAAGTTTGGCCAAGTCTGGGCACAATATCTGTAGCTCTGTGTGGGCTTTCCATAACCAGCAAATGGAGGGTGAGGGGGATTTTTATTGCCTTAGCCCCTCTGTGGATGGAATTCATCCAGCTGAGCCTCAGTAGTTTGGAAAGTAGGCATCCCATCTCCCTGCAATGTCAGTGAAGAGGGAGTCACTGCCAGGCAATGATTCATCCTACCAAGGCTGGGGTTAATCTATTTTATGGATATTAGGAAAATACTACATCTATTAGGAAGAAATTTTTCACTGATATTAGGAAAATACTACATCTATTAGGAAGAAATTTTTCACTGAGGGAGATGAGGCACAGGTTGCCCAGAGAGCTGGAATGCCCCAACCCTGGAAGTGTTCAAGGCCAGGTGGGACAGGGCTTGGAGCACCCTGGTCTAGTGAAAGTTGTCCCTTGAAAGGTGGGCTTTGGGCTTGGAGCAACCTGGACTAATGGAAAGTGGCCCTGCTCAGAGCAGGGAGGTTTTGGTCCCTTCCAACCCAAATGTTCCATGAGTCAATGGTTCTATGATTCTTTTTTAGGATCAGAATATTTCATTACCCCCTCTCTCTTCTTTGACTATAGCAATAGCCTGAGTGAGTAACTTTTTTCTGGACAAAGTTAGATCAGATGAATCCTTCCCACTAGGACTGAAGAAGTTTTAATTGACAAAAACCACTCTTCTTACCAGAATGTATTTAGAGCATATATTACCTGAAAATGGGCTGAAATCCTACATAAGTCAACAAATGGCTCTAGGAGTGTTTGAATTAGGTGATCTTTAAGGTCCCTTCCAACTCAAACCATTCAATGATTCTGTGAATGTGCAGTCAGATTTAAGCATGTACTGTTAAAATACAGGGCAGAATCAATTGTGCACTTAAAAGTTGTTTTAAGGGCTTTGCTCAATCAAACAGTAACTGGTCAGGCTACCTCAAGCACTTTTCAGATAAGCAGCTTTTCTAAAAGTAGCCACACAATATATATGGTTTGATGGAGGTGGCACTTAGATTTCCTGTCTATTTTAATTCTTAGAATATTGCTGGAATAGCCTCTCCCTCCACACCTTTATACACATTTTACCATCAGCATCCAAAATGGCTGATGTCAGTGTTAGCAAATAGTTGCTTTTTAGCCTGAAGATGATAAATTTTACCTTAATCCGCATTTTTTAAGCTGCAGCCAGGATTTAATTCAGGTGGAATAAATCCTAATAATTGAGAAGGATAAAATTTCCAAAGCAAAGGAAGTCAAGTCAGTGGGAAGTGCTTATGAGCGATCAGATTTGGTTCTGATAATCACCACTGACTTTCAAACTCTCCATGCATACTGTGCCACTCAATGTAGCTGGTGCCTTCCTTTTTTTGGAATTTGTGCAGTAAGCAAATCTCAGCTATTTTCTAATGTGATTTTATTATGGTTTTAGAAACCCAAGAGCTGATGAGGCCTAAGAAGTCTTGAGGAACGGCTTGTGACTCTGTTCCCTCCCCTACAAATACCCAATAATTCCAAATTTACAGTTATCACAGGAGAAAAGCTGCAGTGACTGAAACGAGGCAAATTACTTCATTGTATGAAAGTTTGTGTCAGAGGCAGCACAAGAAGTTGTAAAATGTAAATCTCGTGCTCTCAAATTTCCCCGTGTTTTCACAGAACTGCATCTGTGACTGTGCAGCACTACAAAAATTTCCTGTGAATGTGCTAATAGGCCTTATGAGAATGTTCTATCACCATCCATCTGTCACTTTTTAACAGGCCTGATTGGCAAGCACTTGTAACAACTGACATCTGTTCTCGCTTATTGATATGTAGATTTATGGTAATTGCTGTGAACAATAAGACACAAAATTACCTAAGGTGAACATTAAATTAAATTTTCATGCCCCTATCCTTATAAATAATTTTTTTTAAAAATCTTAAGTTTCAAGCAAGGCATACTGTGCATCTGTTTTGTACATAATTTAATTGTTTTTTTAATCTGCCAAATAACAAAATGAAAGTTGAATTTCTTTGCGTTCTTGAATATTTGCCAAGCTGATAGCACATTGGTAAATACATGTTATTAAGAATGGAATCAAACTGTATTGTGAATCTGGGTTTTTTAATCATTTCCCTTTAATTCCCAACATTGTCTCCATCATGAAGATCAAGAGTTATTCCTTACCCAGAAGGGTTTTTTTTTTTCCTCTACAGGAAGATATTCATTTTTCATGTGCAGCTCTGCCTATGAGGCTGTTCCTCAGTGTTAAGCAATTTGCATTTCTTCAGAGAGAGGTGCATTTGCTGAGTGAGCAGCACTTTCAAATAAAATCCATCTACTCATTTGCTGTCCAGCTCTGTTGCGGGATTTGGGACTGTTTTGAAAAAAAACTGTACGATGTAAAATGTGTGATGAGTGTGTGTGAAAGGAGAGAGATTGAGAGAGCAGATTCATCCCACAGAACTGCAGAACTGTACCTTAGCTGAGGTTCAATTGAACCAAAAATCCCCATTTGAAAGCAAAGTACTTTTGGGGTCTAAGACTTGAGAGCATTTGGTTTCCCTCCTCCAAATTTGTCCAAGCAAATGGGATGCTGACACTCCTGACAAGCTGATGGGAGAAACCAATAAAGAGGGAGCAGAGATGGTAAAATGCCTGGGGAATGTGAAACAGTGATGACAGGATTTATTTTTCAGATGTTTGAGCAGACAGAGGATCCTAAAGATGCATATTAATTGCAATAAAACTGTTGACAAAATGGGCTCTGGAGCTCACTGGGTGACAGTGTGTGCCATGGGCCCTTGCTGACACTCACATTTGGGTGCTCAGTTCAGTGGGGGTCTTTGCTGTCCTTCTCTTACTCAGGTGTTACAACAGCCAGCAGGTTTTTCTCCTGCAGACACCCAAGCTGACACCCTATAACACCTGCAGGTTCTTTTGTGGCCAGTGTCTTACAGTCACTGCTACAGTAAAACAAATTGGGTAAGGAGACAACTTCATCACCACCAAGATCTTGTTCATTCATCTTCTTTGGGCATTGAAACTCATTTGCCAAATTGATGGGTTCCTCCTGTGCTTGTTTAAAAAAAAAAAAGTTTTTGTGGAATGAGGCAGTGATGGTATTTGTTTTGCATCCACAGAGGTGCAAGGGTGATTCATGAGTGCAGAGACAGCAGTTGTTTGCTCTGCTGCCTGTTGACCTTGTCTGGCCTAGGCTGTCCTCTGGAATCATTCTGTGTTCATCACAATTATTTAATCCTACCATGTATAACATTTAAAAGTCCAAAGGATGGACTTTTCTCACACAGAAGAAATAGAAGCTGGTTATGACTGATCCTTTTGATGAATAACTAAACAGTGGGTGAAAGAAAGCCATTCCTCTGGAGGAGAGCAACCCACTGCTTTCCCAAATCCTTGTTGCAGGATGGCACAAAAATACAGCCTCAGTGAAGATCAGCAATGTTTGCTGGATATTCTTGCTGAATTACTTATTCTCCTTAGGAAATAGGAAGGGAAATTGTAATTAAGGACCAATATCAGCCCAGGATGAAAAAGAATTCCATATCTCATTTTGAGGGTTACTGACTGCTTTGTTCGCAAAGATTTGGGTTCCAGTCTTTTCCATCCCCAAAATCTTGTTTGAAATAGTCTGCAGTCTTATTATCAATGCAAGATAATTCTTTGGTGGGGAAAAAAAAATACTTACACCCAAGGCAAGCCAGTAAGTCAGATGAGTAATTATAAAAAATAAAAACCATATTGTTTGCATTCATGTGAACTGCGTCTTGCAAAATAGTTTGAATTAGTAATATTTGAGAAAAGCCTTATCTTTTAAGATGGTCTTTAGCCTCCAAAAGAAACCTTAAAGAGGTTTGGTCATGTAATTTCTCCAAGTGTCTTGTTCCAGTTCCAGACTATCAATTGGTGTATCTTGGATCAACTAAAATCTTAATTCCCACCATTGCAACTGTGTCACATTTTCAGAACCTGAACTGAATTTGGGCATTGACTGAGACACCAACATTAGAACCTCAGTCAAATTAGGTGCTCACCTGAGGCCTGACCTGCCTGTTGGAACATGTTGCATTTAAATTTGGGGCTTTATTCAGAAATAGATGTTTATATAAAGGCTCATTTCACAGTCCCAAATGCTGTGACAGTAAGAATTTCTCTTTATGGAGATTATTGATTTTACTAATCTGAGTCTGCAATACTTGTGTTTGAAAGTAGTATCACTCTCCATAATTGCAGGAGTTCTGAATTCCTAGAAAGTACCTCTTCTTCACTGCATTTTTTTCTTCTTAAACATTCTTCCCAAATATTCTATTTAAACTCTTTTTTCATTCTGTCCAAGTTGTTGTTAAGCTCCTCTGTTTGAAATACAAAGTGTGCAAGGAGAAATAATAGTAGGCAAACTAACATTCATAAAAAATCAGACAAGTTTCTAGGCATTCAAACTGGGAAACTTTATTAATCCCAATTATATGACCCTGTCCTGAATGTGTTTTAAATGCTAGTTATCTTCTTTATATTCCCTGTTGTGTCAGGAAATAATATTGTGCCTGGGCTTCATGCAGAGCTTAAATGACTTTTAATTCTACACTTCCCTTAGAAGAGGCACAAACCAGGTTTAATTTTCCTCAAGTACAGGCTGGTGTCTTTGGTGCATTCTCTCAACTCCAAGGTAGAGAGATGAGAAATATTCCTCAGGATCTCTAAGATGTGGTTTGAGATTATAAATGTTTTGGGAATGAAAAGAATCGAGTTTATTGGCAAGGTACACCCCAAGCTCCATGACCATTGAAAACATCACTTTTGGATGATTATGATGATGATGATTACCTGTTTTAATTAACCCTATTGCTTCTCCACATAGGCATGAACGCTTTACAATTACAGAATTTGGCAACTTTAGCAGCCGCAGCAGCCGCCGCCCAGACCTCAGCTACCACCACCAATGCAAACCCTCTCTCCACAACGACTGGTGCTCTGGGAGCCCTCACAAGTCCTGGTAAGAGCAAAGTGCCTGCTTCCAACACACAAACATGGCAGTCGAGGGCAAGGTGGGAGTGAAAATGCTGGTTCCATGTTGTGTCATGAGTTCCATGCTCATGTAAATTGTGAAGAGCCCTTAACAGCTGAATACATTTTTGTTGCTGTTATTTCCAAGCAAGTAACTGCTTTTTCAAGTGGTCCAGTGTGGGCATGTTTGCCTTTCCATGTTCATTTCAGGGGCCATTAAAGCCTAACAGACCCATCTTAAAAAACTCTGCGTGAAAATTACAATTGCATGGGAAACCTAAGATAAAATTAACTTTTCACAAAGAATTCAGAAAGTGACCAAATCCTTCCCATCCAAAGGAAAATCAGCTGAGGTGGTTCTTTTTAATCCCCAAGATACTGATCTTTGTTTCCCATCACACACAAGTATTGCCTTTACCCTTCATGAATTTTTGTGAAGTCCTTTTTTTTTTTCCCTTTCTGTTGCTTGATCTCAGTTGAGCTTTCTTCTTTACTTTCTGAGTACACAGTTACAGAAGTGAAATCAGGTGCACAAGGAATACACAGCCAGATTCTGACTTCATTATGGGAGAAAAAGGGACAAAAGAGGTAGAAATGCCTCCATGACCACCATGTGGATTTCCAGACATGCATGTCTGATGTCTCCAAAGCCCTAGAGCGAAACTGGGGTAAATTCAGGCCTAGGTAACACTTCAGGATATCCAGAATCCACAGAGAGAGATGTTGATTCAGTGTAGTTACTCTGGGTTTACAGTGATGTAGCTGAGTAGAGAATTCGGCCACTTATTGTTACATAAAGGCTGCAGGGTGTAATTATTTGCATCATGAAGTGTGTTTATTGCTGTTCTAAAAAACATTCATATTATTTTAGACACCACTAAAGAACATTTGTGTTTAATCTTGTTTAAGTGTGTATTTATCCCCCATGAAAAAGTAATTCATGGCAGACTGAGCTCATCAGTAAGGAAAACAGTCTTCATTGCAAAAAAGAACCGGGACTGAGCGTGATGTTGGGTCTTAATGCTGGCCAGGGCTCCCATTATATTACAGTTTTATTGTTTGGGACAGAGGTTAAATTTAAAGAAGCTTGGCTAGTACTAAGTCTGTGTAGATTTTTCTGTTTCTGGCATGAGCCTCATCTTGACCTAAAAATAATATTCATTAGCAACATCTCTGAGAAGCAGGTTGGGTGAAAATAATTTTTGCTTGCTGCTGTGTTTTTTTTTTAAACCTGAGCAATCTCTTCCCTCTGTCCTGGAGCTGGGACAAGGCTTCTCCCAATGTCAGTGTTTCCATGTTACACCTGTCTAAATGCCACCCATTTATAGAAGCAGAAATGTTGCATTTCATGCACGCTCTGTGATATCTCTGCACTTTAGCTGATAAATGTCTGAGCAACCTTGTCCTCCCAAGACACACACAATAGATCTTGACCCACACTGACAAGAGTTCCCAGGGCAACTCAATGACTGCACTGTAGTGTAGAGGGACTGGAAATTACCTCCCTTTCTCTTTGCTGCTCTGCAGCACAGTGGCACCAGAACGTTCCCATTGTGCACTTTGTTTTGCCATGTACACACAGAACTTGGATTCAGCCTTAAGGGCCACATTTCTCTCCTTCCCTATCCAACACAGCATCTTATCCATGCTCTCTGACTTGCTGTTCCCTTTTAACCTGATCCTGAGGCTCCCTGAGTACCTGGGAGGTTGTTTTATCTGATGTCCAGGTCTGCAGAGGCCCATGGCAGGCAGGTGCTTCCTTTGGGCTGGGCAGATATATCTTTGGGGTAACTGGAGCTTCCTATTGCTCTGGCTGGCATGGGAGAGCAGATACCAAGGGTTTTTCCAAAGGGGTTAATGATTTTGGCTAGCACATTGAACTTGTGTTATTTTCAAAAAATTCTGGGTATTGAGGCTTTCAAATAATGTCTTCAGAATGCCAGTTGCCTTTGAAAGTCTTATAGATGGCACCTGTACAGAGGTGTTTCTAATATTAGACAGCTTGAAAAATCTCTAATAGGTCCACTGACCTATTTATGTTGCACAAGCAACCTAAAATCAATCCTTGTTAAAGTGTTCTTCAGTTTAACCTTCCTCATCTGGTTCCACATTCTCCACCCTATTACATATTTTGTAAACCTGAATAATATTTTCAATGATTCTTCTCTGCTCCATGGAAAATGAATTTAGTTTGATAAAGCTTTTCATAGTAGCTCAAAGTGTTTCCACTAAAACTCAAAATATGTTGACAGAAAACATTTAAATCTGCCTTTCAATATGTGGATGTTTGGAGGCCTTAAGGGTATTTTTTTGGTCTAGTTTTCCTTTAATAGAACACTTCAGCTTGTTGTGTTTCATAAGTGTAAATTATTTTGTCTGATTTCAAAGCCTGCACTAAGCCCAGGAAGAAATGTTTGCATCTCTCCAGATAATGCATTAAATTAATATTTTTTAGTTGAGAAAACAGCCCACAATTGTGGCAGTGCAAAGGTAGATGCCTAAATTTAATCCTTTTCTTGATGTTCTTAAAGGCAAAATACTGCACAGAATGGAGATGGGCATAAGAGTCTTCTTCCAGTATTTTTTGAACCATGGCAGACACATAAATCATATCCATGTTTCCATCTAGATTCATCTCCCCTGAAAATCCCCCCTGAATCAATCTTTGACCAAGACCTCTTGCTCTGTCCTTTGTAAACATGTGTGTTAAGAGCCCCAAAAGATGGTTGTTTCAGCTAAAATTCACCTTGAAGCTTAATTTTACACCAATAAGATTTAGCAGCCATCAGTGCACCACACTAGTACAGAGGAGACAGTGCTCAGGCCAACTTCAGTGCACTGGCAACACAGAAAAACGGGCCAGGAAGTGAGGAGCCAGTGGGACATCTGATATTTGAGTATTTCCAAGCAAATTAAACTCCAATGATCTTTCCCCCATCCGTTCTGACTAAACAGCTTTGACCGCAAGAGAGTCTGAGGACACTCGTTCTCCTCCGTGTGCTAAATACTTTCTCTTAAGCTTGAAAGAGTATTCATTCAGAAAGAACAGAGACAATACAATCCCCCAAACTATTAATTTTTTTATAATTGTAAATTTATAATTTCAATTTTGCATACCCATGGAAGTGTCTCCCTACAGCATTGTTAGAAATGATTTTTTAAAAGCCTTTGCTTAAAAAAACATGAAAGATTAAGCTTTCATTTTAGTAAAAATCCCCTCAGGCAATAAATAGGTTCTTTTGTCTCTTGGCCCTGGAAAAAAAATTAAAATGGTTTAAATTGCCTATGGTTAAAGTAACTGTTTCTTGCAATTATCAGATGGTAGTGAATAAAAATTAAAATGAAATCATGAAAGACTAAAAACCAGGTAAAGGCATATTATGTCTTTCATGAGTTTCTCATGGGTCTTTTGAAGACTCATTTAATCATCTTTCTTGTCTTTTATTTTGATATGATAATTGTTTCCTTTATTTACTTTAATCACCTCTATTTAGTTAATTAATTCTTCACTTTATTTTCATTTCACTTGCTTAGGATACTTTTTCTGTTTTAAAGACAGGTACCAGTGCTATTTCATAGTGTTTTAAAGGCAGGTACCTGTAGTATTTCATAACACAAGGATTTGGGCTGGAGTAGCTTTTACCTGACTCCAGGTTTGCCTCATCTGGTTTGTCTCAGTTCCCTTTGGGTGGGAATCTGGAAGTTTCCATTTCTTGTTAACTGGGAAGGGATTTTGGAGGGACTGCCTCAGCTGTAGGTATCCACACTGTAAATATCCCAGTTTGGACAGGATGAATCCCAGCTGAGTGTCAGGAACTTTATTCTCTCCTCCAGAGACTGTCCTTGACACATCCTGTAAATGGATCATGGAGCAGAGAGCTCGCAGGGAGGATGCTGCTCCAGAGCCTGCAGAGATGCAGGGATCATTCAGAGGGTGGTGGGAATGCCTGGAGGTGCATGTGAAGGAGGGACATATGAGCTCAGAATCAAAGTATCTGTCTCTAACACTGTCTGACATCAATTTCCCTCGGTTGACCCACTACCCTGATTTTCCCAAGGGTAATAATGTGTGTTCTGACAGTCCTGGGTGGTACAGGACTCATACAGCGCTGTAAAGTGTGGACCACAAAGAGCAGGTTGGTGAAAGCCATGTCCACTCAAGGTCTGAGTATTTCCAAGGATGGAGATTCCACAGCCTCTGTGAGATCATTTCAATTTTGTTTCTTCAAATTCACACATAAATGTTTGTTTCAGTAACCAGTAGAAAAGCCCTACTATGTGTAAATGAAAAGACAAAACATCTAATTATGTATCCAAATTTATCTGCATGAACATACACAATATCATTTCTGAGCTGTGAGGGGATAGAATTGCTAAACCAGAAGCTAATTCAGTTTCAGACCTAGAAGCCTTCTTTTTCCATGACATTTTCATGATTATTTGATTCTCTAAACTATTATTTATTCACACAGCTGAACTAGCTATTCATGCTTCAGTAAAAAACTCTTTAGGTTTATCTGCTGTGTAAACCTAAGAGGAAATATTTGGGGGAGAAAATACTGATAGGGTAGAAAGTGAGAAAGTGATACTTTTTTCCTTTAATGATCTCTTAAAATCCAGCACAGCTTTTGTCATATTATGTCAGTATTCTGCCATTAACTCTTACACTGAAAAAAAAAAAAAAAAAAATTCTCCTCAGCACAAAGGTCTAAAAATACTCATTTTCAGACAGATGCTGACATTGAATAATAACAGTCCCCAAAAAAGGAAGACTGTGAAGTATAGAATAAACTGAAAAAGAAAAAAAAATTACACTGCCTTTCCTGTAAGAATTAATTCGTTCTCTCCCTCTGGTCAAAGCAGAGAATTATAACTTATAGCTATCATCCGTGGCTCATTATTTTCTCTACCCCCTAATCTAGTATGAAGATCGTCTTTGTTAGTTGAAGGTGTTCATGTTGTGAGCACAATTGTTGAAATGGTAGAGAT